ACACACACACAGCTGTTTTAAGTGTGGTGTGCATCTTGCTTATATACAGAGTGCACAGACCTGTGTTTTATTTGCATTTCTGGGCTGATAGTAAATGCTTTGTGTACAGGTTTTCCCTGTGTGATATGCAAATACTGCATGGGGTAGGGGTATGTCTTCCCTGGGTATTCCTCCAAGCACTGTCAGTTTGCTTTCTATGACATGGATATTTTTTTGTGCTTTGTGGAGGCAAATATGTAATTTGATGTTTTAGGCTCAGATACAATCTCTGCTGTAGCCAGTTTCTTGGACTACTTAGTAATATATCCTCATTACCCTTTTGCCTTCTGTGAAATCAGTGCTTGAGTGGAAAACCGTAAGTTTGAAACAGTCGCTTGGGGTTTGGAGCTTAAATTCCACCTTTGTCTTGCACTCTTGGACAAGTTATCTTTCTTTTAGCCCAGGCCTGCACAACATATGGCCCACTAGCCGCATGTGGCCCACCAGAGGATTTCAGCCAGCCCATGAGGATGTAGAGCGAGGCTCTTCTGCTGCTCAGCCTCCTCCTTAGGAGAGGGCAAACAGAGGAGGAGGAAGGGCAAACACTCACCCTGCAAGGCTCCTCCACCATCTGACTTTCTCCTGAGAAGAAGGATGGGAGGAGGAGGGGGAGGACAGGTGAGCAGTCACCCTCCAAGGCTCCTCCATTGCTTGGCTTTCTTCTGAGAAAGCCGGATGGAGGAAGAGGAAGAGGATGGGCAAATGCTTGCCCCTCAAGGTTCTCAGCTGCCTGACTTTCTGCCAAGGAGCAGGGCAGGTGACAACGGAGGAGGGCAGGTAAATGCTTGCCCTGCAAGGCTCCTCCACCACCCTGCCTTGTCCTGAGGAGAAGGTCAGGTGGCGGTGGTAGAAGAGGACCAGCGAACACCCACCCTACAAGGCTCCTCCATTACTTGGCTTTCTCCTGAGGAGGACAGGTGGAGGAGGAAGATAGGCAAACACTCCCCTGCAAGGCTTCTCCTTTGCCCAACTTTGTCCTGAGAAGGCTGGGAAGCAGAGGATGAAGAGGGGCAAATGCTCGTCCTTAAGGCTCCGTCACTCGGCCTTCTCCTGAGGGGAAGTCCTGGTGGAGGAAGAGGACAGGCAAGCCTGCTCTGCTGCTCAACTTTCTCCTCAGGAGAGGGCCAGGCAGAGGAGGACAAGGATGGAATTAATATTAATTAATTATAATTAATATAAATTAAATATATTATTTAATTAAAACCTATCTGCGGCACGAAGAAGTTTAGCCTATCTTAATGTTGGCTCCCACCTACTGCCAAGATGTGCAGGGCTGTTTTAGCCTCACTAGATTATTTTATGGAAAATGTGTATTTTATGACTGGTCGTGCCAATGATGCAGGGTGACCAGATGTTCTCCTTTTCCAGGACATGCAATATATTTCAACCTTCTGTCCAGGAGGAATTCCAAAATGTCCTGTATTTTGAGCGTGTTTGACACCCAGTGTGGATCATTTTTTTAACAACCCCCCCCCCCCAAACAAAAGAGACTGCCTGCCTCTTCAGGGCAACGCATGAGCGGAGCTCTAGGGAAAAGTGGCTTGCACTGAGAACAAGTTGGCTGGATGACAGAAAGGGAGGAACATGTGTAAAGAGGGGACAGCAGTTTTCTCTATTTCAGGAATTCAAACAAAGAGGAAGGGGAAGAGAGGAAGGAGGAGCCTGGGAAGATTGTAAAGTGCAGAAGGGGCAAAAATCAGGGATGGGGAGGTATGATTTTAATGTCATTAGAAAAATACAGTTGAGTACATATTAAAATACAGCATATGTAATATAATTATAAATAAACCATGTGAAATAAATGTATATCAGTGTTTTTAGCTTCTATTTTGTAATCTCCCCACATTTTTCTTGAATGTCCTATATTTTTCAGTGCCTCGTCCTCCTTTGCTGCTAGACATCTGGTCACCCTGCAGTGATGCAAACTATTTTTGTAGATAAGCAATCTCCCCCAAACAGTTATTTTGTGAGATTATCCACAATACTTTCTCCAAATTCCAAAGTTACCCATAGATCCAGAAATACTTCTTTATCCTCCCTTATATCATGCATTGATCTGGTTCAGAACTGTCTACCGTATTTTCCGGCGTATAAGATGACTGGGTGTATAAGACGACACCCCACTTTTCCAGTTAAAATACAGAGTTCGGGATATACTCG